GTGGGTGATGCACCAGTTCCAGAGGTTGACTGCTTTTACACACAGAACGGTTGACCTTTGCCCCCGTTTGTTGATGTGGAAAACAGTGGAGGTGTTGTCCGACAGGATAAGAACATGACGGGAACAGATGAAAGGCTTTTCTTACATGCTTTCCTTACAGCCTGGACTTCCAGGATGTTGATGTTCATCCTGGATTCCTGAGTAGTCCATGTTCCCTGTGTCATGTGATCATCCATGTGTGCTCCCCAGTCTATGAGGGATGCATCGGTGATGATCGTCTTGTCCGGGAAGGAGGAGAACCGCTATTCAGACATGACGTGGGTCCATCCACCACTGGAAGGCTGAGAGTACACTGGAGGGACTGTCAGCACGAGCTCCATGGCGTGATGGCTGGGCGAGAAAACAGTTTGAAGCCACATCTGGAGGCAGCGAAGATGGAGTTGAGCGAAGGTGGTGACATATGTATAAGAAGCCATGTGGCCAAGGAGCGACAAACAAGTCCTGGCATGGACATAAGGATTGTTAGCGGAAGTTATGAGTTCTCTCAGTGTATGGAACCTGTCCCTTGGTAGGTAGGCCTGTGCTATGACTGAGTTGATTGTGGCCCCTATAAAACCTGTGGGTTGTGTGGGGTCCAAGGTTGATTTTTAAACACTGATACTGATCCCGAGGGATGAAAGAAGGCTGAGCAACACGGATGTTGAAACTTAGGCTTTGCGTCTGGACTGAGCAGCCAGGAGCCAGTTGTTGAGATATGGGAATACCAGGACTCCATGACGTCTGATGTAGGCCACCATGACTGCAAAAACCTTGAAGACGACACTGGGAGCAGTAGTTAGTCCGAAAGGGAGAACCCTGTTTTGGAAATGGAGCAGACGTGAAAATGGGGAATCATCTGTGGGCTGGATGGATGTCTATGTGAGAGCGTGTTGCATATTGAGATCCCACATGCCTTTTTCTAGTGATGGGAAATTGCTGCTAGTGTGACCATACGAAACTTGGGCTTGCGAATTAAGCGACTGAAAAGCTGGAGGTCTAGAATTAGTCTCCGTCTGCCTTTCTTCTCGGGTATCAGGAAGTAAATTGAATAGAATCCGGTCCCGTGATATTCCAAGGAAACACCATCTATCACTCCCCATTGTAGTAAGGAGTTCACTTCTTGGGTGAAGATGCTGTCATGACGGTAGACCCTGAGGAGGGATCGGGGGGCTGTGGAGGAGGTAGCATGATGAATTCAATCATACAGCCATGGTGGATGATATTTAGCACCCATGTGTCTGTTGTTATTGCACTCCAAGCTTGGAAAAAGAGTGCCTCTTAAGGGGGTAAGATGGTTGCATGGCCTCTTAAGGGGGCAAGACGGCTGACAGCTGTCAAGAATGTCTTCGAAATACCTTTTAGCTGGGGATTGCATCTGCAAGGAGGAAGCCTGTGAAGGTGGTCCCGGAGGGTGGGAATCTCTGTCCTTTGTCTCTTCTGTGGATGTGCATAAGGTCTCTGGTGGAAAAACTGGGAGGCTATGTAGCATAGTGTGGGTGGCAGGTGCTGAAGCTTACACTTCGGAGCAGGCATAAAAATACCCAGAGAACATAGGGTAGTTTTGGAGTCTTTGAGAGTATGAAGGGAATCATCAGTTTTTGATTAAAAAGATGGGATTCATCAAAAGGGAAGTCTTCTATAGTGTTCTGTACCTCCCGAGGAAAAACACAGGAGTGGAGCCACGATCCCCTCCGCATGACTATGCTTGCAGCCATAGTCCTGGAAGAAGTATCTGCCACATCCACCACTGGTTGGAGCATTGTTCTTGCCACCAGCTTCCCTTCCTCTATGATCACCTGGAAATAAGCCCAATCTTGCGGAGGACGTTTTCAGCAAATTCCTCCAGTTTGCTATAATTCAGGAAAACATATTTGGCTAGTAATACCTGATAGTTCAAAATCCTGAATTGGAGACTGACCAAGGAAAAGACCTTACGGCCCAAAAGGTCCAATTGCTTGCCCTCTCTGATGGATGATGTGGAAGGTGCGTGTTGTTGCCTGGATTGTTCAGTTGCTGCCTGACCCACAAGTGGGTTCGGGCTGTGTGTAAGAAAAGAAACTAAGACCCCTTAGATGGAACATATCATTGCTTTTCCCTTGGAGGTAGGTGTGCATGTGGCCGTTGTGTGCCGTATCAGCTGGTTTAAGGTCAGCATCATTGATGGGCAGTGCGACACTAGTTGGTGCAGATGAATGGAGAATATCCAGGAGTTTATGCTGTGTATCCCGGATTTCCTCCAAGGGGATGTGAAGCTCCCCCACTACTCCATGCAGGAGACCCTGGAATTAGCTAAAGGCAAAGGGGACGCTGAAGTCACTGCCTTGTCTGGGGAAGAGGAAGGGAATCTCTCCGGTTCCAGTGGCACTGTTGGAACTGGGCTAAAGGGCTTCTCTTCCAGGATTGGATCTGAGCTTCTACTCAACGGCCCCTTTAATGGGGAGACAGATGAAGTCTCCCTTGCGGACCAGGTGAGTTCTGAGAGGGAAGTATTGGGACCATTGCCCACAATAAGGCCAGTATGCTCAATCTGGAGGGAGTTGAGGCAGATCTCCTTGCGTGGGGAACCAGTGGGTCCATGGTGGTTGCATCATATGGTATTGCACGATCCAGATGGCCTTCTAGAATACATGTACTGCTGAAGGGAATTGATGGTCCCTTTCCATCATCCAACTCTTCCGAAGATGAGAAGGTGGACTACAGTTCCTTTGGTGGTACCATCAGAGTCGGCAGAAGCGTGTAGACCACTGGAGCAGGAGGTGAGGGGTGGCATGTCATGAGGGGGAGAAAGTCTCCCAAGAGGTCGAGGATCACAACATGCGAGACAATCTCGGTTCCTCTAAAATGAAGATGACCTGGGGCTCGGGTGCTTTTCCCAATCTTCCTGATGTCAGGGGTAAGTGGTGGTGGAGTAGTGGACTTCCCTGGACTGCACAGGTCCCACACTTTATGGGGTGCCAATGTTGACGGTACCTACAGTTTGGTACCTGGGACCACCAGATCCCCTTGCTTGTGGGACTTCTTTTCGTGTTTATGCACTTTAGAGTGCACTCCCTCTCTGTGACTCGAACTCATGGAAGCAGTATCTTCTTTCTTTGTTTTCAAGGAAAACTTAACGCCACACTTATGGGAATGCTTCCTTACCTCCAGACTAGTCCCCGGCGTGAGGTCCACAGTGGTAGTACCACCAGTGCTGGATCCGGACACAGTAGCAAGAGATGCGTACCTAGCTGTTTCAGACCGATGTACTGGGGTGGGATGGGGTGGGGTGGATTTCCCTGGCCGGGGTCTAAGCGAGTCCTCATGGAGACTTTCATAAGGTGCTTCTGGAGGCAAAGGCCCCAACCTTTTCGGGTACAGCTGTGGAAAGACTGGCAAATATTGCACCGTGATGTAATGTGGGCTTCTCCCAAGCAGTAGAGGCAGCACTGGTGTTTGTCGCTGACTGAGAAGGAACACAGGCAGGAGGCACAGAATTTGAAGCTCAGAGTCTTAGGCATTGTACCCACGTGAGAGTACTGGGAAGAGCAGGAGGGAGGGTAGGGAAAACACCCCCCCCCCCCAACTATCTATCCTAATCACTAACATTACAATAAACTACGATAAAACAGCTAAAAACATTATAAATTGTAAAATTCTAAAACTATGTACAACCATGTTTTTAAAAGTGCTTCAAAGACAAAGACACAGAAAGTTCCAATCTGGACCAGGCGGTGATGAGAAGGAACTGAAGACGCGGTTGCTCCGCCTCGCCTTTTATCACCTCAGATGAAATCATGAAGCAAACCAGGGCTCACGCATGGACCAGTAGACACTATTTTCAAATTCTCTAGCTCTGGATGCATGGTGTGCATGCGTAAACCCTCAGTGGAATACAACAGAGACCATCTCTCGAAGAAGTTAAAGGTTTATAACTGTTAAAAAACAAACTGTCAACATCACATGTCAAAATATGCAAAGTAAATATCCTTAAATCAAACTCTAATAAATTCTCAAACATCATTTTTCTTATGGTGTCTGTCTGTAAGTTTTAATCATCATCAGTGGAAATATTTTTTCATTGGTTTATATGTGTACAGTGAAATAGACGTTTACTGATAAATATCTAATCCTTCCAAGCCTATACATATTGTTAATTTCAAACCTTAAGAATGCACTGTCATTTCAAAATTTTAAAAATCATTTAAAGCCTACATAGCATAAATCACTTTTAAAACATTGTATATTTTAAATAACCACCACCAATAATTTTAGCTCCAAAATTAAACTATTTCTATTGCTGCTGAGGTAGAAAAAAGTCCCAGTGAAAAACCCTCAGTGAAGAATTTAAAAAGAAAAATTAAATGCAAAACAAAAGGAAAGTTGAGGAGTAAAGATACTGGCGATATGTAGGAAACTAGAGTGCACCCAGGTGGCAATGGCAGTGTCTACTTTATAGTGAAAAGTAAAGGGGAAAACACAATTACTGAATTATACTTTTAGACTACTATTAACTAAAAAATAAGAGGATTTGGGTACCGAAGAACTAGGATTTTCAGGTCATCTATAAGTACAAAAAGACACCACCCACTTAACCTAATTTCTGATATTACATTTTTAAGTATTCTAGCTAGTTAGTACAGAAGATTTTGCTGGGGTTTTTTAAGACTACAAAGTAGTAATACAACCTATTACCTGTTATACAACCTATTTTAAGGGGTGAACTAGCCCTAATTTTTCTCCGAAAAATATGACAACACAAATTATCAAAGATTTCAAAAGCATGCAAATACTACTGACCCAAAGCACCGAAAAAAAAAAAATACCTTCATTTTTGTCTGGCGATGATGAACCTAAGGCACAGAACAACAACTCAGTATGCGGCTTATGTTTTTTATATTAGCTTTGACCATTGCCATTGGTCAATGAATGTATGCTAAGCATATGGCCTATCTTTTTATCAAGTATTACTGATAAATACATACGCTGAGATTGAGAGACCACTTTCGTTCGACTACGTCCTCTAGAATCTGTCTTTGAATTTCCAATTCCAACAGACGGTGTTGAAAGCTTTGTTCGTATACGACCTATAAAGTAAAAATGACATTAAGAAAATAGTCTTCATCACGAATAGAGATCTCATAGTGTTAATGTTTTATTACGTTACTATAGTTGAAAACTGAAGATTTACATACTGGAAAACTCAATCATCCAAACCTCACTTGAAAAAAACCAACTCATAATAGAAAATTAAATACCGCGATAGATTTAACTGCAAGTTAAGAAACACAAACACTTTTCTTTCTGACTGTAAGTACTTCAATAAAGAATTTATACACTATCAATTTTTAAAATTAAAACTAGCTCATCTTCATCAACACCAAATTAGATAACTCTAGTTTTCTCCAGAAATACACTGATTTTATATTTTTAAATGTAAAGCTTATGAAGTAAGAGTCAAGGAAAATATTTTATAATTTAGGAGGAGAGAAGTACCTAATGTAACAAATATCATACTCTACTCATTACTACTTGAAGGCTGTAATTTTATTAACTTTCCTTTTTCATCCTCTAGGTAACAAAGCCAACCCTGGCTCTCTTTTGAACACGCCACTGAGGATTCTTGCCAACAATGCTGAGCAGCACTGCTCCGGTTTTTAGAGACCTGCAATCTTCTCTGTACCTCAGGATACCACTATACTCATGCCTATGGATGTGGACACAAAAGAAATTCTTTATGCTTTATAGCAATTTCCATACAAGGTTCTCAAAGAACTTTGCAAAGACTAATGAATAAGTCTCAACATCCATGTGAGGTAGAGAAATACTATCCTTGTTTTACAAAAGGAAGTACTGAGACACAGAGATTTTAAGGATTTGTCTGAAATTACTCAGGAAGTCTACAGCAGAACCCAAATAGAATTCAGCTCTCTCCAGACTGCCAACCGATAAGATCATCTTTTGTGTGACAACATCTCTACTCCTCAATGTTTAGACAATACAATGAAATTACCAAAGAAGGGAAGGTTCCAGCAGTATGAATGACAGTTAATAGGCAGATTACTCTTAAAAGTGAATAGGCAGAATTCTGTATACAGGTCCTAAACCAACATGAGAGCCCCACACAAAAACAATACTTAGACCAGCGAGTTGGACACAATTTTGGAAGGTTGCAAGAGGAAACTGCTTGAGAAGTGACACTCTAGCGCAACAATTAATTCAATTTAAGACTGCGTTAACTTTAACAATAAAAAAGTTTTGCAGACATATAGGGTCAATCCTTGACCCAGAAGAATTAGGCACACAGGCTCATTATATCTAGTTTCCAGCCCCTTTAGGCTTTCCACAGCAGGATTTCAAGACCAGCCAAGTTAATATTATTCATCCAAGTAGAAGGAACAGTCCACAGAAGAAAGTCTATGGGAAGAGAGCCAGGATAAAGGAGGTTATTCACTTAGCTACTAGAAAGCAATGTATTACCATTACTGGTTAAATTGATTAGGACAAACTCTACCCTCAGTCACCCCACTATTTTCCCCACTAATTGTAATGAGGTTTCAGGGCACGTAACTGTGTACAGAATCTGGCCCAGAGAGTTTAGGAATATAGTGCGCCACCAATTTGGTTGATGCTGAATTATCAATAAAGGCCTGATTTAATTTCCATTAAAGTAAAAAACAAAATCTGTTTGAATGTTATGAGGCAAGCATAGTGATTGATTCTCTGGTGCTAGCTTAGAAGGGTTTTAACAATCCATTCTAAAGTGTTCTTCCACGTTTCAAATAGATAATTAATAATAGCACCTGCTTCCTGAGTGTGTGAGCACATCTGATCAACAGATGAGTTTTTCCTAATTAGTTTGTAATTTAAAAGATACAAACATAATACTCCTGTAATTTTATAGTAAAATGTTAAGCAATGACATTTTTATTGCAAATGATCGCCTGAGAACCAAAATCATAATGCAAAAGAATTAACAAAAATACAACTTCAATAACCAAATATTAGATGCGTAAGCCAAAAGGAATGACCCGCCCAACCACCAAAATGAGCTAATTCTACTTCTAGAACTTAGTTTGTATAAATGAAAACATGAAGATGAAGTATTTGCTATTCTAACAAAAGATTAATTTTTCTTACCATCTTCAGAAGCTGTTCCTAAACAGAAAAAAATAATAAAACAATGATATTCCAAACAGCACTATTCTTTGATTCAATTCCTTTTAATGAGAGACTACTTACATGAAATTAGAGTACCTTGACAAAATATGTTTATTATTTAAGAATGGATCTTAACTTCTGCTCTCTTGCATTGCAACTCCATCATTAAACTACAGTGGAAAGCCAAAGGCTACATTGTGAGCTGATTGTAGAAATACATAATGCACTGCTGGACCACAAACTTTCTTTGAAAAACCATGGAATATCAAAGAAAAATTGAAGTTTTAATCATACATATGAGTTTAAGACAGTTAAGTAGCATGTCAAGAACAGACTTTGCTACCAAGCTTACTACCACAACCAACTGCTAAGGAAATTAGGTGACAGATGCACATTGTGCACATTTGCATATAGAATTCCAATACAAGCTCCAGGTTGAAGTAAACAATATAGACCCAGTGCATTAAACATTGGGCAGAGAGAAGCTGATAGAAGATGTTAGAAAGGAGGATTCATTCAAACAAAGTTCAAACTGATGGTGTAAAAGGGTGTACATTTTTTAAGGAAAGTCCTGCTTGGAAGAGTGAGCTGAGAGAAAAACAAAGTTACTGAAAATGGGTCACAGTTGGAGTGTGTATGATAGTTTAATGAGGCAAAGTATACACATACATGACAGTTATGACAAAATCTGAGGTAAAACACACACCAGTGCCCTGAAAACCAAAGAATGGGTGAATATATTCAGGAAGTGACAGGATCTGTAAAATATTCCCACTACTGGTTGGTAATTTTTTTCTAATCCAATGTTGTTTCTGAATTCTGAGCTGACCGTACTAATCAAAAAAGCCATTCAGCATCTTTACCTCATCTAGAGGTTGTGGGAGGTTAACCTCCTGTAAACCTTGCTAGGACTATGCACACTTTTGCCTCTTCTAGACTGAGCTACATTTACAGCAGGATCACCACTGAAGCCTCAGAACCTCCAGCTAGTGCAGTCTGCAACACTCCTGTCTTTTAAAGTGCCACCCTATCCTAATAATGACTTTTTTAAAATCGCGTTGTGAGAGTGTGTCTCAGTTTTCCAAATCAAGTTTGCCCAGCTTGCATATAAAATATATTTTTTTAAACTGCCAGTGCTGCAAATTCATCCTGGACTCTTATCAAGTTGCGTTTATTCTATCTTGCACATCACCACAAGTAACAGAAGTCCTGAAGAGCAAATTATGTCGTCAGCTATATCTGCATAGTCCCATTCTCTTCCAGACACCTTTGAAAATCCACTGAAGACCACAGGATTGCACATGTCTACCTGAGAGCAGAACTTGGCCTGCAGAGCCCATATTACTTGTGATGATACACAAAATGGAAAAAAAAAGCAAAACAAAACAAAACAAAACAAAAACAGCTTGACCGCAAGAGTTCAAGGTGAATTTGGGATGCTGCTAATTATAAAAGTGATATGCAACCTAATCAAATTTTTATTTGGAAATCAGAGAAAAGAATACAGAACCGTACAATGCTGTTCAATAGGGCAGACCAATACCTTATGGAATTTGGACTGCTATAAGCAAAAAGTGACAGTTACTTACCTGTAACTGGAGTTCAAGAGGGATCTGCATATTTCCAATTACCACCTTGTGGCAGCAGCCTTTTTTTGCTATATCAGCTAGAGTGCTCTCGCATTCCCCCTCCACTTGGCGACCCAAAGCACTGAGGGCAAGGCTATAAATGGGACAGAGCACCCTTTGCTCCTTAGTTCCTTCTACCATACAGCCAGACAACATAATTACAAGAACTCTGAAAGAGGGTGGGAACTGTGAATATGCAGAGCCATCTCAAAGAACTCCAGTGACAGGTAAGTAACCTTCATTTCTTCGTTGAGTGGCTCCGCATATTCCAACTTATAGGATAGATTGATAAGCAGTGCTGATACCAACCTGGAGATGGGAACAGAGTCCTAGTTGAATAAAGACTGAAGTATCGCCTTGCCAAACCCAGCATGCGCTCTAGAAACTAAATTCACAGGACAATGCTTGGTGAAGGTGTGTACAAATATCTGGGTTGCAGCTCTGAAGAGCTCAGCAACTGGCACCAGCCTCTGAAAAGCAAAGGAAGTAGCCACAGCTCTAGTAGAATAGATCTGATTGAAGCAGGCACAGGAACTCTCACTAGCATATAACTCAAAGATACAGAAACTTGATCCACTGTGAAATAGTCTGGGAAGAACCCGTAATGCCTCATATTATTCTTGGCATATGAGAAGAACAGTCTAGAAGTTTTAAATGTGGAAATCAGCTACCACCTTATGTAAAAACTAAGGATCACGTCTAAAGACTACCTTTTCCTTCTGATACTAAGTAAAAGGTGGATCAGCCATGAGTGCATTCAATTCACTCACTCTACTGGCTGATGTAATGGCAATAATTAAAGCAGTTTTCAGGAATAAATGATGCAACGAGCACTTTAGCTATGGGCTCAAACAGGTATTTCATCAAAGTGGTGAAGACCAAACCAAGGTCCCAAGAAGGGACGCGATTTTTAGCAGAAGGATATGCATTTGACAAACCTTTCCTGAAGCATGAACAAACAGCAATCTATCATCAACTCGAATATGATATGTGGAGATGGAAACCAAAGAAATCTTTATCAATGAATTAGATAGGATCAAGCTTCTTCTGCATCCATGCCTGAAACATAGGCCATTTTGGACAGTCAGATTCTAGTGGACTGTTTCCTGGATTTAACCAGTATATCCTGCACAGACGAAGAACACGACTGCTCAGGTGCAGACAGAGTCGAAGTCCGATCACTCATGCCATCAGATGAAGGGTCTGCAGGTCTGGGTGAAAAATCCTGCTCCCCTTCTTGCACAGAAGATCTGGAGACAGACTTCGCCAGACAGCTGAAAGTCTGTGAACCACTGCAGATGTGGCCAAGCCAGGGCAATGAGTATTATTCCTTGCTCTGTTCAGATTTATCTTCCTTGCCACATTTTGTATCAAGGGAAAAGGAGGGATGGCATACAAAAGGCCTCCCTCAGTGCAGAAGAAAAGCGCCCAAGAAAGACAGACTATCCCTACTTGCTCTGGAACAGAAAAGATGACACTTTTTCTGCTGAATCTTGTCGCGAACAAGTCCACAACTGGTTGATGCCATCTGGAAAAAAGGGTCTGAACTAACTGGTCCGTCAGGGAGGCATTCCTGCTGAGGCAATATGCAACTACAGTCAGGCCTTGATTTACATGGTATTTTCTTTGCACGGTTTCAGTTATGCACGGTCAAGTAATTGTACACGGTAGGGATTCACTTTTACATGGTGAAGCGCTGTCGCCAAGATGCACAAATCAGGGGTGTAGTCAGGACCCTACACTTGGAGTGGGTGGGCAATGATGGGAGTGGGGGAGGAAAGGCAGGAGGAATGGGGCGCCTCCCCTCACTCTCTCTAGCTAGCCTCAAGGGGGGCCACAGAAATGCTGGCCAGGGGCTCCAGGGGCGGGGTCGAGGTGCAGGGGCCCCCCTGCAGCGGCTTGCACACTCCGCGCGCCTGGCACTCCTGCTGGGGAGCGGGGTTGGGAGTTTGCCCCGCTCTGCCCGCCCAGCGCTCCAGCTGGGGACCAGGGTCGGGGGCCTTACCCCGCTCTACCCGCCTGGCCTTCCAGCCGGGGAGCGGGCAAGCCTCCGTGCCCTAACCCTGCTCCCCAGCAGGAACACTGGGGGTGGGGGGGAAGAGGCGGAGCAGGACAAGCTCCCAACCCCGCACCCCATCTGCAGCGCTGGGAGGAGCAGGGCAAGCCCTGGACCCCGCTCCCCAGCTGGAGCACCGTGCGGGCAGGAGGAGTGGGGTGAGCCCACGACCCCACTCTCTCACAGGAGCGCCAGGCAGTTGGGCAGAGTGGTGCAAGCCCCTGCGCTCCAACCCCCTGCCCCAGGTGCATGCCTGGGTGGCCTCTTCCCAGAGTGTCCATGGCCCCCCGCACAGCCGGCTGGAGGGGGTGAGTGGAGGCGTCCCCGATCCTTTTTGCTTCCCCTCCCCCATCCCGTCATTGTCCCCCCACCTGAAGTCAGGGCCCATCCCACTGCTCCACACTCCCCAGCCTCCCCAGATGAACCCGCAGAGTTCTGACTTCAACAACATGATGATAATGCTGATACTGTATCAAGTTCATCCTCACCATGAATAAAGGTTAGTACCTGTACTGTAGTAAGTTTGAATTTCATTAAATGTTTTTACTAAAACCTGTAGTACTATACTGTATTGTATACATTAGGGAGGTCATCTTATGAGCCTGAAACCTAACCCCATAGACCCTTAGTATCTTTTTTACACGATTTCTATTTGCAAAGTATTTTTTTAAGAATATAACCACAGTGTAAATCGAGGCCTGACTGTACAGTGTCTTCCCCGGCCAAATGTACTGCTACATAAACCTCATGGCAGATGCACCAATTCCATAGCTTTATCACCAATGCAAAAGGGGTGGAGTGAGCACCCACCTGTTTGACGATATAATGCACTGCTGACATTTTGTCCACTACTACTTGCATGACCTTCCCTTGAAAGTGAGGGAGGAACAATCTTAGGGTCAGGTGAACAGCTCTTAGTTCCAGTACGTTGATGTGCAATGTTCTTTCCTTGAGAAGACAAACGACCTTAAACCATTAAGTGGTTCAAATGTCCCCTCAACCTTTGGATGATGCATATGAAATCACTGTCTGGGATGGATCTGAGGGATTGAACTGCACACCTTTGAGCTCGTTGGTCCTGTCTGGCAACCAGTCTAGTGAGGTTATAATGTTCTGGGGCATCATGAGCAATGTGCAATATCATCTGCATAGATGAATTTATGGGATTATGTGACCAGAATGTCGCTGGTATAGAGACTGAACAGTGCAGGTGCTAAAACAGATCCTTGTGGGAGGCCATTGTTCAATCTCTGTGATTTGCTAGCAGATTCACCAACATGTACAGTGAATCTTCTATTACTCGGCATCTTGATGATGAGAGTATTGTTGCTTATCATTAGCTTTCCCATGCCAACTTCAGCCAGAGACCTTTGAGCCATACAGTATCATATGCAGAAGAAAGGTCAATTGATGCTGCCGCTGTTTTTAATTTTAACTGATAGATTTCACAGATTCTATGTAGCTGGTTAAGACCAGTACCCGGCCCAGTTTCTTCAGGAATTCTGGATATATTCTGTCCATTAGTACTGCTTTCCAGGGCTTAGTGTTGGAGACCCTTGTCCGTTTCATCTACTGTTAATGGGCAGAAAGGGGTGAATACAACTGGCACTACTTTACTGAGCAGTAAAGTTGTTTGTGGACTTGCTGCCTTATGTTTTTATCCATTGGCACACGGGTGCTGGCAATCAACTATGCAGCAATGGCACCTGCACTTACTTGAGGTGGTTTGCACGCTGCTGGAGCTACCCTGCCTAATCTCGCAAATTCATAACTGGAGATGAAGGTGAGGATCCAGTAACTGAAGGCACATGCCTCCCCTCTTGTGTGCCATGCACTTCAAAGCCAGATCCGAGACATGCTCCAGAGGTAGAGGGTGGACTAGGGCCATCACCGTGGCGGAACTCTTCGGAACTAAGGAAGTACTTGGGGTCAAGACAGGAGCAAGGTCTGCTATGACACCGAATCCAATGGTCCACATGGGCTAATCTCCCTCACTGCAGTGACTGGGGATGGGGCTGATCTCCACTTAGGAACCATAGCAGTGTTATCTGAAATAAGCATAACTGAGAACTCTGATGCATGGGAACTGGCACTGCTAACATTGGCAGTCTTGCTCCTATGCTGCTTTTTCCTCAGTGCCACAGCATCTCAGGCTGATGGTCCTTGTTCACAGGTACCACTCATGTCCATCTTCCAGAATCTGGAAGATATAGTTGGAGCCAATTCTGCAGCTGTGGGGGCCCAGTCAGAGTTAGACTATTGTAAGGCATGAGCTACTGCACTGGTGAGAGTGGCCAGACTGGTCCTTGACATTTTCTCTATAAGTGAGGTGGAGGGATGTGATCACACAGGCCTTGATTTAGACACTTATGTCCTTGGAGGTTTGAAGAGGAGAGGCACAGGAACCAAGTCCAGCCCCATCAGATGATGTGGCTTTTTGGAACCCTGCAGTCTGCTGGAGCCACCAGAGACCACCAGCGCAGAGGTTGGTAGTCCCTGGAAGCAAAGTCTAATCTTAAGAAGGTCTAACCTTAAGGGCCTCCTTAAAGCAGTAGTTGAAGACGAATCTCCCCATCCTGGAGGGCTCTGGGGATGAGGGTCTGGCAAATCAAACACCCAGATGGTGAGTGGCCTTCACATAGACACTTCAGGGACATATCATCTGATACCAGGAAAATGGCTGGACAGGAAGCGCATCTCTTAAATCAGGTTCCTTTGGCTTCCTCGATTCCACCATTCCTCAGAACTAGGGAAGTACCCTAACTGCTAGTAGCTAACTGAAAGCTAACACTAACTATCTTTGAAGAGAAAACTCTTGGCTTCAAGGAACTGGAGGGTTCACATCAGTCCTGGCATGTGATTGGAAGGAACAGAGGTGAGAAGGGCACTCCAACCCTTTTATAGCCTCCACCTTAGTGCATTAGGATGCCAACTGGAGGGGTGAAAGAGCACTCTAGCTCAGGAGTGACCAACCTGTGGCTCCGGAGCCACATGCAGCTCTTCAGAAGTTAATATGCGGCTCCTTGTATAGGCACCGACTCCGGGGCTGGAGCTACAGGCGCCAACTTTCCAATGTGCCAGGGGATGCTCATTGCTCAAACCCTGGCTCTGCACACACTCCACCCCTTCCTGCCCCCTCCCCTGAGCCTACTATTCCCTCACTCCTCCCCTCCCCCCCCAGAGTCCCCTGCACACCACAAAACAGCTGATCAGGAGGTGCAACGAGGGACGGAGAGGCGCTGATTGGTGGAGCTGCCGGTGGGCAGGAGGCACTGGGAGCAAGGGGGTGAGCTGATGGGGGGCTGCTGGCGTATTACTTTGGCTCTTTGGCAATGTACATTGGTAAATTCTGGCTCCTTCTCCGGCTCAGGTTGGTCACCCCTGCTCTAGCTGATACTCCTGCAAGCGGATTCTACCGCAAGGCAACACAAATGGGTGCAACACCCATAAATGGGAATATGCAAAGCCACTTGAAAAACATCACTTGTACTCCATGATCTTTACCGGCTTACAATTAGCTGCAAAGTGCAATGCACCACGCTGGTTATCCATAATTCTTCAAAAGGTTTGGGATTCTGGTATTTTAAAAATCTCTTCTCCTGTGTGCCACCTAACTGCATTTTCAATGGAGACCTTGGTTCTGGAATTCAAACCCTACTGAGGTCTGCAAAACTCTGATGGCCTTTACAATGTGGTTCAGAATGAGTGTGTATTTAATATGATTATTTGCTCATCTGACTCAATGGATGAAAAGATAGGGATGATGGTAGGAAATGGTGCCTGCTTTGTTGACAGTAGCTATTGTTCTACATTTTTCTAAACACTAGGATATAGTTACAATACATGTGACAAAAGTTTATATAGATTTCAGCATCTTTCAAGCCAAAATGGCCAATGTTAATATTCTTGGGCAAATATCAAACTCAGCTATTATGGCAAGGCAGGAAGCAGATGAAGCACTAGTTATAGCTACTTATTGGAAGCATCTAGCTGTAGCATAGTAACAATTGCTAGAGGAATGCTGCTTCTCAGAAGGCCTTTTCAATTATGACAGGAGATATAGCTGACAACTAGCTAAAGATTGTTTAATATACAGCTAGAACAAATAAATACTAAAATGCTATTTGAGGGAAAGTCTATAAATCTTTAAAACATTCTGTTAAACATGCTGGAGGCTATGTAATCCATGAATGAAGGCCTACTCAGCAATAATTATCTTTAAAAATAATTAAATTGATTAAAGTTGACAGTGTCTTGTTAAACGTCTCCTAATTTGACTATTTTAAAATCTAGGTTCTTACAAGAGCACTCTTTACATAATGCATTTGATTTTTAAAAGATCTAAAATATTTTACAATAATTTTCTGTTCCCTTATTGATGTTTATAAAGGTCTTCTCCGCAAAAAAAAGAAACTGACTGACAATACAGGAGAAATTATGAAACCCCTGAACCTCTGAAACACAAGGTACCACCAAATACAAAAACTTTTCACAGTAGCATATACAAAACTTTCAAGATTAAGTTTTCAAGTTGATGGTACCCTAGCTGGTAAAGTCGGCGTCTAAATAAAGAAGGACAAAAGCTTCTATTCATAATATGATTGGTCATTATGGAAATAACATCCGATTAAAGATAAACGAAGTTTCTTTTAAAGCTGGATACCTGACATCCATAACGTCAAGATATATTGACAAATACAGTAATTTGAAAGACAACCACTTTAAGTCTAAAATTAGTGTACTGAGGGGTTAATGAAGACATTTTACATATTGATCAATAAAGGTGTGTAGTACAAACATCAAGTACTTTACATGAAATGTAATTTCAAAAGATGTTTTAATAGGATTAGAAGAGGGCAGACAAAACAAGTTCTTACCATCCATCTTGTCAGAAGTATCCTCTTTGTTGAAAGAGCAAGCAAAGAAACAGGGAAAACTTAGTGTGTTAGAATAAAGACATTCATAACAGAGTCATAAAACATTCATTAAAGAAACTATATTAATAGTAAACACTGAAGACATTTGTAGATCTAATTCATTTGTGTAAACTTTAGAAAAGTTAGTGGTTCCCAACCTAATATATGCAAAAATATAAGATAAGGTACAAGACCCCACCCCCACCCACCCACCCCCAAAAAAAGAGAGAGATGTGGAACCTATTTGCATTATCTAGATTTGAGCAAACCCTGGAAGCAAAGGTTATGAACTTTTTCAGGATACATCAATTGCTTGGTGCTCAATAGTCAATAAGAATTTAAATTTACATACATTTATAGTGTTACTGAACCACTATGACCCCACTTCTGAAATTCTACCACTTAACTTGAAACCTCAGAGGGGGAGGCAGTAGAAATTTAAGAAAAACAAACAGGACAGCACAATAAAGGCAGAAAAAAAGGAAGGGCGACTAGTATGTATAGCTTAAAAGCAATTCAAGATTTTTCTATTCATTTGGCATGGAGTGTGTATGGAGTGTGTATTGCAAGAAAAGGAGTACACAGATTTTGAGTATAATATAAGCAAAATAAAGGCTTAGTACCACTACAATACTTACTAGTGCAGTTTCTCAAATGCGGCCGCCGTGGCCACATGTGGCCACCAGGGGTTTTTCCTGCAGCCACAACAGCCTCTTGTGCAGAAGTGGGGGAGGGACAAAGCAGTGGCCCCTCCCTACAGCGCTCAAGGGCGGGCTTCAGCCCCCGCCCCCCCTCCACAGTTCAGCCAGAGGCTTGGGCGACATGCTATAGTCCCCCCTCACCCAGTGGCAGCCGCGGGACTCTGGCAGCAGGTGCTGCAGGCCTCCTAAGGTGGGCTTCAGCGCCCCCTTCCCCCCAACTTCAGGGCTTTGGGTTTCAGTCTCACCACAGTAGCAGGGCTTTGCCTGTGGGCTCGGGGCTTCAGCCCACCCCCGACTCCAGCCATGGGGCTCTAGCTCTGGGCTTTTACAGGGCCAGCCTTACCAGGCGCTGTGGTCCAGAGGCAAGAAGTGGGATGAGCCTGGGGTCTGAGACCATGGAAGGGACCTCGAGGCAATGGGGAGAAGCAGTGGGGGCCAGGGGCACCAAAATATAACTGTACATTATTTTTACTATTGAGTCTACAAAAAACCCTACATCAATCAATTACAATGATTTGGACACGTAAATATGCATATTTATTTGTTTTTCCTAAAGGTAATTAAGTATTTTAGGAAAAAAATTGTCAGAGCGGCCACCAATCAGAGTTGGTGGCTGCACTCTGAGGCTACCAAAAAATTTGTTGTGAGAACCCCAGTACTAGCGAGATATGTATAATCCGCTGAATGTTGCTTATAAGGATGCTAGTAAGTAATTTCAGGCCTCAAAACGACTAAAGTCTGGCAGAGAATGTCTTCCTGATTCAATAGCTACAAAAACAAATATAAGTTCTAATGCAGTAACAGCACAGGGGAGATCCTTTTTCATCAATAACAAACAAGCAATGACAGGTAGAGGTAAGTAGAGACCTGTGTGCTCCGATAAGTTGGTCCTGATTTCTACAGCTATTTTAAATTTTTAAAAAGGTTTATAATTAAATAATTAAATATGAACACGAATAACACTATCAGTACAGTGGCCTTGGTATTTATTTTGATATTAAACTCTCCACATGGAAAGATATGGAAACCAAACTGGAAGCAGGATAAGCACATTTGTAGGACATTTCTGGTAAGATGCTCAGCAATGAAATAATTAACAATTTTGCCCATTTAAACAGTCATTTTAGGTTTCAACAACCCCATTGGGATGAAAGGGACAAAAGGGACCGTTTACTCAGTACTGTTTCATGCTGCCAGCACATTCTGGCATGCTACGTTGCTTCAGTTTACACTCAGTTCATATTTTCAAGGGTATCTTCTTAACTAAGAGTACTAGATTATTTATTTTTAAGAGCTGAGAGTCTGAAAGGTAGATTCTATGGTGAATCCACAGCCAACAAATATATGGGTCCCAGACCACACATCTTTAGCAGGGGCAGGCACATACCACCCACTGTTGCAGTAGTTTATATAAGTTTTAGAATTCTGAATCTTGAGAAATTCTTATCAGTCATGCTGCAAGCACAGACCCAGAAATGGTAATTTCTTGAAAAACATTTTATTTTAAGAGGTGATTGTAAAAAAAAGCAGGATGAAATAAAATTAAAACATAAAAAGTAGACAGTATTATCTTAATATTTTACAGAAGCACAGAAAAGGGGACTTCAAGAGGTTATCAAATCCATCCTCTGCACTGAGGAAGGCCTAAGTAAACCTAGACCATCCCTGACCAACCTGTTCTTAAAAACCTCCAAAGGCAGGGCTTCCACAACTACCCTTGGAAACCTAATTCCAGGGTTTAACTTCCTTATACAGTACATCTACACAGCAACTAAACACTCAGGGCTGGACCTTGCTAGCTGACTCAGGCTCATGGAGCTCAGGATGCAGAGCTATTTAATTGCTGTGTGGACGGTCGGGCTTGGGCTGGACCCTGTGGTGTGGGAGGGTCCCAGAGCTCTTAAGTGTAGTACTCTGCACTTGTCTTTACTGAATTTCATCTTGTTGATTTTAGGCCAGTTCTCTAATTTATCAAGGTTATTTTGAATTCTAATCCTTCCTTCAAAGTGCTTGCAACCCCTCCCAGCCTCGTGTCACCTGCAAATTTTATAAGCACACACTCCACTACATTATCGCGGTCATTAATGAAAATATTGAATAGGACCAGATCCAGGACTATCCCTGTGGGACACCACTAGATACGCCCTCTCCAATTTGACTGAGAACCACTGAGAAAATGGTTTATCAACCAACCTGTGCACCCACCTCCATCTAGACACATTTCCCTAATTTGCTTATGAGACCATTATGTGGGACTGTATCAAAAGCCTTACTAAAATCAAGATCTTGTCTACTGCTTCCTGCCTATCTGCTATACCAGTAACTCTGTCAAACAAGGAAATTACATTGACAAATCCATTTACTGAAGGATTCCTTTTAGTTTTCAGGTCATTAAAGAGCTCCTGATGGAGCCATACTGGACTCTCACTATTCTTTCTACCTGTCCTTCACATCGGTATAGTTGGCAGTTATGCATTTAATACTGTCTCTATGAGAAGTTGCCAGCTATTTTGAACACAGGTCTTACAGTATTTACAAGGAACCCACATGTGACAGAAGGAAAATAAAAATATGTATAACTGTAATTATATGCTGAGAACAGTAAAGAAAAAATATTTTGCAGTATGTGGTACATTTTTCTTACTCTCCCCATATCCCTTCTTTCCATCACAATTCTAATACTGCTACATTTTCAGTTTATAAACACTATATTTTTTAAAAGTACAAGGATATCATAATAAACTCAAATACCTCAGCCTATTAGTGCTATTATGATACTACGCAGATTCAGACAGACCATAAATAAGAATGTGATACCACAGACAAAAATAAAAATATGTAGAATTTTAAATTATATTTCTTGTGTAAGTTTTCTTATTAATTGAATCTATTGTTTGGCACTACCAGAACACAAAGAAAGGGCCAAAACAATCTTTTTACAATTATTTTTTGATTATAAGAACTCTTTTTAATTTGCATTATTAGACAACACTACACTAATCATTCAGAGAAAGAGAATAGTACAAAATAATAGCTATTCCATTTGGACTAATGTACACTCATTCTGTTTTACCTTTAACCCCCCAGACCAATGTCACAAACAGTATTATCGGAATTCTTCCATCAAACATACATCTCAATGTTCATCTTTTCCATTTTAATCTAAGGTGGTGTGACAGAATGTACCCGTGTCCACACCCTACACACTATTGTAATAATCTTTGTACAATGTATGCCTTGTGAAGTATCATTTGAAAACTCAATTCGCTGGTCATTATTGTCCAGATAAAATGTTTGTGGCAACACTGCATGGGAAGTTATAAGATTCCACCGTGTGGTGTTATTAACACGTTCCAAACTGAGGATGGTAAACAGGTCTGTCTCAAACAAAGGAACGTGTGCTTTACTTAATTTTCATTTCAGCAGTAAACAGAGCCATCAAGCAGGAAGTGAAACAAAGGAAACTGAAACCCTTCCCCATAGCCTTTTGCCTCCTGGTACCCAGCGGGAAATGTTTTTCAAAAGGGGAACAGCAACTACAAAAAGGAGGGACAAACACCCCAACGCACCCCTCTTTTTCTCCCTGCCCATCACATTCACGGCACCAGAAGTGACAAAAGAAGCATTTGCTGGACTCTGGGAGAAGGGGTGCTGACTAAGAAGTTTGGTCAGTGAGACTGCTGAAGGCATGTGGTGAGAAAACTTTCCTTTGAATTTAACATAGTTTGTTAAGTTAGGCACCAGTTGCATTTTATCTTATTTTTCTTGTAAACATTTCTGACTTTTATGCTTCATTACTTGTACTCACTTAAAATCTCTCTCTTTGTAGTTAATAAATTTGTGGGGTTTTTTTTTAATCTAATCCAATGTGTTTAAAATGAAGTGTTTGGGAAATTCCATTTGGGGTGGAATAATGGATTTTATATAAATTTGGATTGTCCAGGAGAGGACTGGGCAGTACAGGACATACATTTCTAGGGGGAAATCTAAGACTCGGAGTGTGTTGGGGTCACCCTGCAGTATAACCTAGGCTGGTAAGAGCCAAGGTGTGGCTGACTGGCTGCAGTACACAGATAGCTGGGAGTGACTTGCACGCTGGAGACTGATTGTGAGCAGTCTCTGAGCTGGAGGCTACAGCAGCAAACCATTGTAAAGGGCACCCCACGTTAGAGGGCAGCTACTGATTAGTCTGGATTGTGCCCCAGGTATGTCAAAAAGGAAAAAAAAAAAAAAAAAAAAAAAAAAGAGTCCAAACGACAGTTGCCAGCGAGACAATACTTTCCAGCTAATCAAAGCAAGATTTAAAGAATATGTTGGAACGGGTCCCGAATGCATCCCATAAAAATTAGGTATGAAACTAACAGCATGAGTAAATCCTCCTCCAAGTCATTCCCCTGCATACAACTGCCAGCATTTACCCTCTTGAAAATCTGGGTGTTCTTTTAAACTCCTATCTAGGAGGTGCTGGGAATGAAATATGTGGTCCTTTATATGTTCTGAAAGCACAACACTGTTCTAACCAAAAATTTGTTTTTTTCTGTTTAACTTAGCAAAAGACCAAAGTAATCCTTTCACTTTATCATAGGTAGGATAACTTTGTTATTCTCTATCTCTTCCTCCAACGGTATTTTAATTTGACCATTTCTCTTTCTTTCTACTATCTCTACCATGCCTCTTTCCTTTGCTCTTCCCTACCACAATGGTTGTAGAGTTAAGGTTAAATCTCAGCCTTGCCTCGAGCCCTGAAGAACAGCGTGTTGTTGTTGCATCCAGAAGCAGACCATGGACAGATTATGACTCGGAGTTCATGTTTGGAGTTTGCAACAGTTCTAGCATCTAACACCAGAAGTGCTACCAGTAAGAGACCTCTCCTCAGACAGATATCATGGTAGCACTTCTTATGTCTAACAGAAGTAATGTTACTCATCAACAAAAATGCAACTTAGGTGAAAATATACACAGCAGTGCTGGAAAACCTATGAAGAACTCTTCCAAACCAACAATGTACACAGTTGTACAAAACAGTGACAAATATGGAATACTGCAACCATTTTATATAGCTTGAAACATTTCACCATGCCTTAGCTACATAAGTATTTTAGATTTTTTTTTTTTAATAAAATGGGAATTTGAGATTTCTAATGGTGACTGGTATATTGCCTCTAAAATTGGCAGAAACCATGACTGCTCCCTTCTGTTTATCTGCCGCCGGAGATCAAATGAGTGTCTCTCATGTATTTTAAGAGCATAATGAAGACACTCTTTGCACTGGCCTTCTTCCTCAATAAAGGAAGCTCTAAAGGATCCAGAACACCTCCATGCCTCAAAATTAGCTCTCTCTTAAAATCCTCCATAGAAAGACAGTTTAATCAAAAAGGGGAGCCAAGACAGTAACTCCTAGTCAGACAATATTGATGCCCCTTAATTCAAGCACTTGGTGCCTAGGTACTACTATTATGAGTGCACCAAATAGCCATACACAGTACTTTCCAATAAAGGAAGTATTTTTTCATTACTATTTGCTTTCTATGAACTCCAAGAAACAGTTTACAGTAAACCAGGATCTCTCACCTAGTGAAGCATAGGATCCAGGAGGTAGACCAGCAGCAGACAAGCGCCCAGCTCCTGTTGGCTGTCCAGCAGCATGGCGTGCCTTTGCACCTGCAGCAGCATTAACATCAATGTCACTGCGGGACCTCTGCAGTGTTCCTGGACTTGGAGCAGTCTTGCTGCTACTTCCTGAAACTAAAAAGAGAAAGATGGTAAAATCAAATCTAAATTAAGCCCACTTATTATCAAAAGTTTGGCTAAGATTTTCCATCTCTATTCAGTATATGGTCTTATAAACCATAAGGTTAACTTGATTCAATACATTCAATACAATCCTATATAATGTAAAATATAAAGTAACTATATTAACAGAAGGCTAAGGTTGCAAAAATCAAGCCCCCAAAAGATACTAACATGACAGAATTGTGATTGCCGGTGCAACCTTAATTCGGCCCCTCTGTGTGCATGTATTACGATATAATCTTTAATTACAGAATAACATATTGGTCGGCCCCTCTGTGTGCATGTATTACGATATAATCTTTAATTACAGAATAACATACTATTTTTTCCAGTACGACCCCTGCCTCATTCAGTGCATAGAATAGATAGTGCTCAGGGAAGGGGGATCATTCGTTTATTTTATCTTCCTTATTCAATACATTGTCCCACGCCTTATTTAATACACACCATTCCATCTTCCTACCCCATGCACGAAGTACAAAATCGTTTAATAATAATAATAATAATAATAATATATTGAGATATACCTATCTCCTAGAACTGGAAGGGACCTCGAAAGGTCATTGAGTCCAGCCCCCTGCCTTCACTAGCAGGACCAAGTACTGATTTTTGCTCCGGATGCCTAAGTGGCCCCCTCAAGGACTGAACTCACAACCCTGGGTTTAGCAGGCCAATGCTCAAACCACTGAGCTATCCCTCCCCATAACTGCCACATAAGCAGTTCTGTGGTCCATTCACCATAGTATCCAAGTGCTTCATAAACATTAATTTATCTTCACATTATCTGTGAGACTAGATGGTATTATCATCTCCAGTTTACAACTGAAGAACTGAGGCAAAGAGATTAGGACAAATTTGTCCACTTATTTAAAATGCCCAACTTGATGCAACCAGAACCAGATTTTTAAGAGTACTTAGCATTTTCCTAGCACTTTATATGTTCACAGCACAGCTCTAGTTCTCTTCACTTATGGCTGTGAGTGCTCAGCATTTCTGCAAATCAGACCGGTGGGTCTCAAGTTTGGCATCCAGAAAATGAGAAACACAGTTAATGGCCACCTGTAAAAAAAGGTGTGGTTTAAGTGATTTAGACAGCATCAAATAGGATCTCTGTGACAAAAACAGGGATAGAATTTGATTTTCCAGGGCACAATTCAACTACCTTGCCTATGAGACCATCCTTTCTCTTCCTGTAGTCTCCTGCCTCACTCAAAACACCCTTCCAATTTCTGCAATACATTAAGCAAAAGTCCTAGAGACAACAGTCTCATTCACTACACAACCCTGACTTATTCCCTGATCAGGTCCATCTTGCTCACTGAATGATGCAGCGGTCCTGTATAAAAGAACAGTATGAGATTCTTATCAATGCATACACACAAGATGGTGAATTAAGGTTGCACAGGTAACTTCAATTCTTGCATTTAACTACCTTTTGAACTTTACAGTTTCAACCTGATAGAGGATAGTAGTGTTGTTGTTTTTTTGTGTTTTTTTTTTTTTTTAAATATCTATTTATTTATTTAGGAAGTTTAACTGGTTTACAAATCATGGTCATGTAAATATCAGAAACAAACAGGTAATTACAACAGTGAGGGGTTTTTTTTGTTTAGAGAAAAATTACGCAGCAATATAATCCTTATGCTACCTTATTACTCTTTACACTATCCAGGATGTGTTATTTCTGGTAACTTTATTAAACTGAGTGAAACTACTGACTGCTCATATTTATCAAATCAGGTGTGTCTATCAAACGTTAATATTAAAACAATTGGCAGGTGTGCATTTTTTTTGGCAGGCAAATGTACTTTGAGCATTGAATAAATGGTAGCCACATATCTAAGGGTCTATTTTTGCTGGGTATACACATAATTGATGTGTTCATTCTTCTATAACCTCCCATATTTTGGGAGAACAATTCCTTCAGTTCTGGACTGTCTCTCTTTTCCAGTAACAGACTATCAGTAGTCTAATGGCTATTAGCTGATGAGAGATTGATTTTTGCATTTCTCTGAGTGTTACCATTTTTGCTAAGAAACCCCAAGATTAGCAAAGGATCATTGGTAATAAATAGCTAACAATTTAAAAAGGCAAATTATCTCACGTGGAACCATACTGATCCCCAAATGGATCATCTAGAAGGTTAGGATCTTTAGATCTCTACCACTTGAGCTAATGGAACAACTGCTAATGGTAGCAGTAGGCTGTTATTAGAGGAGGACAAGGCAGAGACTTTACAAGTGGGTTTGACAGCTGTTTGCTGACAGCAGAACAGTGTTATGATTCAAATTCTGGGTTCCATTACAGGTGCTGAAGAGTGTTTCTTAGTGGTTATAAACCCTTCTGCTCTTATCCACCCTCTCAGACTCCTGTCCTTTCCTCACTCTCTGCTTACCACTTTCCCCCATGGAGCTCCTAGCCTCTCTCTGCTTTCCCCCCCTACTTCTCAGCCCCTGCAACCCTCTCTGCAGTCCAGTCAGGCTCATTTCTCTTTCTCCTCATCACTGACTCTCCCCGTTCTCCATTCCTGTGTCTCGAACCACAACAACCAGAAAGGGCAACTGCAGGAAAAGTCTTGCTCAGCCACTACAGTCCCACACTAGAGTATACCCAGAACAAACTTCTGAGAATTTACCTGCCAAACTATAATACATTTCTATTGAGCAAGGGAGAACTGAGATTTTTCAAAAGCTGAGACCTTGGCCAAATTTGGGTGAATTTTCACAGGGACAAAAAGGTACATCCCTGGCATCAAGCTGATCCCCCTGCCAAAATTCAAGTCCCTGTTCCAAAGCACAGAGGCACTAGAGCTTCTCTATTATATAGATTTAGGATTTTGTTTTTTTTTTTTAAGGAAAAAAATCCTGTATTTTTCCTTAATCTTGTTCTCTGAAACGGCTGAACTATTTTAGCTGGAAAATAAATTCCATTTGAGGCAGGCACCCACCACAGAAAATTTCAGCCCAAACAGCTGAAGTATGCCAAGGTTATATATAACAGAAAAAACAGGGTCTTACAATGGAAAGTGATAGCAGTCTTAACTATAGGTGGAACTGGTATCAACGCATATAATAATGCAATTCTGTATCAGAATAAACACAGAACAATACAAAAAATCTTAATTATGGCTAAGTCTAATTTAAAATATGAACATAACTTTTTAGATGGTCAATTTGTAAGAAACAAGTCTATTTGTATAGCAATGAGAGCATACCTCTGCCAGCTATACTTGCTGGGCTGGCTGTGGACCATTTAGAAGATAAAGGACGACTGAAAGAAAAGCAAACAATAACTACATTAGTAAGATAAATGTCAATTGGATCCAAAGAGCAATTATATATTATGAAAACACTTTTCAGTCCTTCATCTTTTTACTTCGATTTTCTATTTCTACTTTCTGAAGAGTATTCAGGTAACACACATTATACAGAACGACCTATAAAGCATGCTCATCCTAATACATCATCTGTTTTTGAACATTATAAAATTAATTCCTTGCTATAGTATTATTTAATACTTTGGTGACTGCAGACATAATATAAACCCTTTAATATAAACTGAAGACATACAGAACTATCAAGTTCCAGCCAGAGGCTTGAGGGAAATATGTTGGGTGCTGAAGGTGGCTCAATTCTGTTTCTCTTGCTTTGCTTTCTACACTTCCTCACATATAAACCCCACTTAAAAAAAACAAAAAAACAATCTCTTCTGAACCTACTCCCTGCTCCAACTCTTGTTCTATATTTTCTTCCAATCCTGCCTTGGTGAGGAGTGCTGCACAAACAAAATTTTCTGGTTTACTCCTCTCCCTTAAGCACTAATTGGCAACTCTCTCCTCTGCCTGATGCACACAGGTACAGAGTAAGGAGCCAAAAACTAGTTCTCTTGTTCTCAAGAGCAAGGAACACTCCCTTTATTAGTGCTCAGCCTCTAATTCTGGCTATATGCTTCAGAAGTAAGAAAAGGAGAGACTAAAAGACAAAAGGATCTGCACAATTTACTGCAAGTGACATCTCATTTTTATGACACAGTGTAACCTGGCCCTCGCCGGCCTAGGCCCCAAAAACACCCAGAGACCAACGGAGGTGCAGCACCTGTGTCCTTTCATTGTTTGTGTCCGTTCCCACCACCTACTATTTACAAGTATTTACAGAGACCAACACTCTTGAAGACTACTAGCTTCCCAGCCAGCAGGGATCTAGAGGCCACACTCCTCCCTTTCCTGTCTCTTAGCCAGCTTTATAGGGCAGGCTGGCTACCCAGGCCTGCAGGTGGATCCTCTCTGGTAATTAGGGTGTGGCCCCTCAGCCAGCCCAACTAACCCTTTTTCCTCTGGAACAGGGCTAACAGGGGCCTGGCTTGTTTCTCCTAGTCAGTACCCTGTTACACACAGCTAGGTGGTGTTTGGAAGATACTGCCATTTATTTTATCCAACTAAAAAAGGACTAAACCTAAGGAGCCAAGCAGAGCACATGGGCATATTCAGGCCCCAGTGAGGGGGATCCAAGCTCAGGAAGCCCAGTGGAGTTTAGACAGGAGGCCCAATTTTATTTTGAACACTTGCAGAATCTAATTTAACTTTTTTTTAGCGACTCACATGGGTCAAACTTATTTTGTGAGCAGAGCTTAGAAGAGTACTCCCCACACAATTCTATCCCTAAGTGCCACTATCGTAAAAGTTAAAACAGCATAGTCAAGAAGGTAAACTAGAAAAGTGCCAGTCTCTGAGTAGCTTGATTAGTATGTTGCAGATCCTCCCTTTCTGAAGTGATCTAATTAACTTCATTTAAATCAGTTTCTTTGGGTACATCTTCACTACCCGCCGTTTCGGCGGGTAGCAATCGATTTATCCGGGATCGATATATCGCATCTCGTTAAGACGCGATATATCGATCCCCGAACGCGCTCACCGTCGACTCCGGAACTCCACCAGAGCGAGCGGCGGTAGCGCAGTCAACGGGGGAGCCGCGGCCGTCGATCCCGCGCCGTGTGGACCCCAGGTAATTCGATCCAAGATACTTCGACTTCAGCTATGCTATGTGCGTAGCTGAAGTTGCGTATCTTGGCTCGATCCCCCCCCCCAGTGTAAACCAGCCCTTTGTAAGATTGAAGGAGTCCATTTACCAAGCTTCGTAAAGCTTCCGTAATGATGGACATGATAATTGAAAAAAAGAAAATATTTAGTTCTCAACTCCTTTAGCTACTGGATGAACTACACAGGATTTTTTTCCATGACAAAAAGTTCTAACATTAATAGTAGAGGCTAAATGGGGAGCATGGGGGGCGGGGGAAGGAGAGAGAAATAGTGACAGATAAAACTAACAATCCTCTAAACTTTTAAAATTCCCCTTTTGTAGGTAATAAAATTTCAGGTCAAAAATTAACTTTCCAATCTTGTGAATCTATTTTAGTAAGGATGCTGGCAGAAGTAATATCACTTATTCTTATAACAACAGTGCCCACAGTATACTATACAATTAATCCTGGGCCCAAAAGGATCTGTAAGATTTATATTTATTTAAGATTCTTCTAAGTTAATAATATTGAAAACCATAGAGAATCACATACACTGATAAAAGGTGACATACTGATATAGACAGACTCCCAAGCTCAGTGTAGGGAAGAGGGAGGTGAACAATCACAATAAAAGCCAGAGTAGTAACTTCAGGTAACTCAAAAGGTAAAAATCACTCGTGTTTTTATTTCAATTGCTTTTAATATTAGGATTTCCTCATCTAGCTCCCAATATTCCTACACAATGTACCTTAAATAGTTTGGGAGTTACATGGCTCCCAACACAGAGATGTAAAGATACTACCCAGCAATGTTAAGTCTTTGGTAAGATTCTATCTTATCCACAATTCAATATTCAGTCCAAATGCAACGCTTCTAGTTTCATGAAGGGATTACAAATGAAGTTCCTAGTAGTGATTATGCATTAGCTTAAGCAAAGGGTAAGCAAACCATCTGTGAATGTACATATTCGTTGTTGAAGATTAAGTGTTGCCAACACCGTTCCCTATAAATTTCTATTTAAAAATGTTTATATAATTACAAATGATGTATTGCAGCTAAAATTTGGCATAGATAAGGGAAGGGACACAATTTGTAAGGCTACTAGTCAAAAGTATTGCTGCCAAAAAATTAACATTTCAGTGGGGGGGGAGGGGGCAATTCTTTCTACTCCCCTTTGGCCTACAAACAAAATCAGTGAAATCAAGTTAACTCATTTCGGAAGATCACTACTCTAGACTAAGGTCTTGACAGTTTTGGTTTCCCAAAATTTGGCACAATTCAGATTGGTTCTGAGAGCTGAAGTGGTATATTTGTTTTCCACACAGATTTCTATTGCAGCCTATACTAGATGTGATTTAAGAACAGAACCTCATATGTTCAGGATGTCTTCCATAATTTGAAGGATAGAACCTCCACGTACTACTCTTTCCATCACCACATGCAGCTTCTATTTATGAAGCAAGGCCAGTCCTTTTCCAATGAGGCTTCTCGATGAAGATAAGGTGTACCTATTGAGGATAGCAGTACTGTTCTGCAGCTAAGTGCCAATTTCAACTTCATTTTAGCAATTAGAACAATACTGAAAAAGAAAACTGAAGAAGTAATTGTAAAGATAAAATTAACTCATTTTTGTTCATCATAGAACTTACACTATTCCACTGTTCAGTGAAACTGAATTTCAACAATTTCCACCCCACCATGAATCTCAGCCTGGACCAGTCCACACAAGAGATCCACTTCCTGCACACTACAGTGCAAATAAGCTATGGTCACAAACACCACACTATACCGGAAACCTACTGACCGCTTTCATCCAGACTACATCACACAATCCATTGTCTACAGCCAAACTCTAAGATACATCCGCATTTGCTCCAATCCCTCAGACAGAGACAAACACCTACAGGATCTCTATCAAGCGTTCTTAAAACTATTATACCCCCCTGGTGAAGTGAAGAAAAAAACGGTTACTCATCCTTTTTTGTAACTGTTGTTCTTCGAGATTTGTTGCTCATATCTATTCCAGTTAGGTGTGTGTGTGCACGGCTGTCGGAAACTTTTCTCTAGCACCTACACCCGTCGGGCCGGCTGTGGAGCCCCCTGGAGTGGCGCAGATATGGCGCTCTATATACGACCCTGCCGACCCGACCCCTCTTCAGTTCCTTCTTTCCAGCAACTCTGACAGATGGGAAGGTGGCGGGGGGGGGGGAGGAGAGAGAGAATGGAATAGATATGAGCAACACATCTCGAAGAACAACAGTTAAAAAAGGGTGACTAATCATTTTTCTTCTTCGAGTGCTTGCTCATATCAATTCCAGTTAGGTGTCTCCCAAGCCTTACCTCGGAGGTGGGGTCGGAGTCAAGGTATTGCAGATCGAAGCACCGCTCTGCCGAAGGCCGCATTGTCCTGAGATTGGTGAACGATGGCGGAGTGTGACGTAAAGGTGTGCACTGAACACCATGTGGCAGCCCTGCAAATTTCCTGAAGAGGTACGTGGGCCAGGAAGGCTGTCGACGAGGCCTGTGCCCTGGTGGAGTGAGTCATAATGGCAGGCAGAGGAACCTTCGCCAAGTCATAACAAGCGTGAATACAGGCTGTGATCCAGGAGGAGATCCGCTGGGAAGAGACTGGATTCCGCTCTGCTAAAGCGACGAACAACTGGGTTGTTTTGTGGAAAGGCTTCATTTGGTCAGTATAGAAGGCGAGCGCCCTTCTAATGTCCAGCGAATGCAGCTGCTCTTCATGAGGACTGGAGTGCGGCTTTGGGTAAAAAACTGGCAGAAAATGTCCTGGCTAACATGAAAGCGGGACACGACTTTGGGAAGAAAGGCAGGGTGAGGTCTAAGCTGCACCTTGTCCTTATGAAAAATAGTGTACGGAGGCTGAGACGTGAGAGCCCCCAGCTCAGACATGCGTCATGCCGAGGTGATGGCCACCAAAAAAGCAAGAGAGATAGAGGAGCGAACCGGAAGCTAATGGCTCGAAGGGAGCACCCATGCGTCGAGAAAGAACTAAATTAAGGTCCCAGGCCAGAACAGACGGCTTCATCAGGGGATGAATCTTCTCCAAACCTTTCAGGAAACGTCCCACGATGGGGTGCACAAATACCGAGCGCCTGGAAACACTGGGGTGAAAAGCCGATATAGCCACGAGATGGACCTTGAGAGAACCGAATGCCAGGCACTGGTCCTTCAAGTGCAGGAGATAATCCAGGATACACGGGACTGAAGTCTGGAGCGCACTAGATACAAAA